GACCGGATAGGGGTGGTTTGTTGAGTGTCTGAAATGACCTGGACGAAGTGCAGGAATCAGCTTAGAGCGCCGTCCCGGATTAACTACTTTACAAATAAATAACAACACACACACACACAGCGACGGAGTGTCACGGTCAGCGGCGGTCAAGACTTCACTCGACAATCCGCGGTTCGCTTTTTGTCTCCTTGATCAGCGTTTCGTCTGCATCCATTTTTGGGAGTTTTGTTTGGGCCTCGCGCGCGTTTCACAGTTTTGTCCGCTCCACAAAGCGGAACCTTGGGCGCATCGGTTTTTTTTTTGTAATCGTCCGCCAATAATTAGCAGCGATTGTAAATTAATCGATGGTCCGCACGCGCGACGCGATATGCACGTGTGTGCGAGCGCAAGGATTTATTCGAATCGATGATTCGATGCACGTCCCCGAAACTATTTACTGTTATGAAAAAATATTTACTCTGTTACGTTCATCGACGGTAAATATTTTTTTTGTTAATATATTCAACGTAGAGTTAACGCGCAGATTAATTACTAAGGGGCCGAATAAGACTTTCAGATAACTCTGTCGGGCATAATCAAAACAAAGATCCCCTATAACCTTAACAGACCACTAGGGCAAGTGTCGTTCACGAGCGCCTATGAAGGCCGACACGGCACACGAGGGTGCGATTGTGGCCCGGAACCAACCACGCCTAAAGGCCGCCTTTGTCTCCCTCATGGTGATGTTTACACACCGCACTATATACTCGTTTAAGGCCGAGCCAACCTAGGCGAGGCATATGACCGGTTGGGATGATCGTCACCGATGTTGGCCGCGAGCCGGGAATGGATCTTAGCTCACCGGGTCGCATGGTGCAATTTATTTTGGGCAAGGCTCATGGAGCTGAGAAGCTCTTTTGTTGATGGCGACCCGGACAGAATGGCTGAGAATACGACAAGGGGAGGGAGGGAGGGAGGGGAGGGAGGGAGGGAGGGAGGGAGGGAGGGAGGAGGGAGGGAGGGAGGGAGGGAGGGAGGGAGGGAGGGAGGGAGGGAGGGAGGGAGGGAGGGAGGGAGGGAGGGGAGGGAGGGAGGGAGGGGAGGGAGGGAGGGAGGGAGGGAGGGAGGGAGGGAGGGAGGGAGGGAGGGAGGGAGGGAGGGGAGGGAGGGAGGGAGGGTTTTACAGAGGCTGCACAGGACACGAGCAGGGTAATTGTATAAACATGGCGAATACATAATGAATAACAATAAGCAGTAATAATAATAACAAGAAAATAATAATTCCTATCAAAACGTCGTGATATTTTTATTATTATTTTCACTTTATTTGTATTATTTTTGTCTATCTACGTGGCGACTTCACCGAAAGAACCATAGAATATGAATTCCTGCAGTCGCCAAAGTTTTAAGTCAAAATTTTACCGGGATTATGCAGAATGTACATGTTGTAAGGAAGCCGTCCAAAATGACGTTACGCGCATGACTCGAGCGAGAGGAGCCGGCGTACGGTATTTAAAAGGGTATTTATTATGACGGCGAGATTTGCAACCGCCGTTGAAGAAAGTAAAACAATTATAACACGTCGATCAAGGTTCCCGCCGCCCAGCCATCGACAGGAGCGGGCAGGCAGGGCCGTGAGGTTTACACTTCTCTCAACTCGTGCAAAAAGTTTAACCGTTTAAAAACAAATATGTTTACTCTTTTGCGTGTGTGATAAGATAGATCTTGACGTTCAAGCCGACGAACTTTGCTGTCAGTAAACATATAAATAATTAATCACGAGGAATGACGACGGGGTTTTCTTTTGATCTCGACCAACATCTGGCCAAGCGGCCTCCCTCCTTTGTCGAACAGTAAACTTACTCCCCACTGACGGCGTTAAAAAACACACTGACAATCTATCTATATATATAA